GAGTGATATTCAAAAGTTTACTCATACCCCAATACCCTGCTACTGTAATTGTCCCATCTGCAACCACTCGGGCTAGTGTCCCCGCTTCTGTTGATAGTAGTCCCCCGTTGTATGTCCCACGAGATAGACGTGATGACATCACCCGAGATAGTAACGACAAGTTAACACCTAAAAATCACATATCAAATTTCATGATACTCGATTACTCATATTATATACCCCAAAGGCCCAAACACCCTACCACTCGTGGACAAAAAAAAAAAAAAAACTTTTATTAGAAAACTATTTTTTACTTTCGTTCAAATATACAACCCAAACTTTCCAAATTGTTTATACTCCATCAACAATCGAACCTTTACTAAAAAAATATTTATCTACAGTTAAAATTTATTCTATTTAAGATAATATAAAAACTTAATTTTTTGCAAAACAAATATTCAACATGTTGTGTCATGTATGTACCTTCGAGAACTTCAGCAGACACGAATGTGAGGATAGCCGAGAGAATATATTGGGGTGCGGAGTAAGGGATGATCACTTGAAAACTTAAAACAATACCCAAACATACCATTATCTCCGAAGCCAACAAAACTTGTCTGCATATATATGATCACAAAAACGTATACACATATACAACGTAAACCCATAAGTTTATGTTGATTTTGGGAAGTTATAAGTTTTTACCTTTCTTCAAATACGTTGCTGATGTAGCTTCCAACAAAGATGCTGACTGGAAGAACAGTCAACCCAAGACAAGCAAGAAACATGGCAACTTTGTTTGTTGACCATATAAAATAATAAGATGTGATGACACTTGATTCAGCAAGTAAGATCTCCATCGCGTATTTTAGCATGAAGTATATAATCAACTGAACCTGTTCACATGCAATATATATGTATAATGTATTAATATTTTGTATGATGAGGAGGGTATTTACGTCTTTTGCACAGACAAGGTAAGGTATATTATATATATACCTTGACAGATGGAGTAAGAAGCCGATATGCAGACATTATAGAAGTAACAGGCTCACGGCTTTCCTTGGATAATTCATCACATTCTTGTTGCTCATCTTCATCTTGTTGATTTTTCTCTGAACCCAAAAGTAATGGCTCCAAGACACCAGTTTCTACAATGGTATCTGCTAGCAACAACATGCATAAAGCTACTAATTTGTTCATGTTTATTTAAGTACAGAGTGGCATTATAAGATGATAGAATATGTAACAAAAAAAATAGAAATATACTTTAATTGGGATATCAATATAGGCAATGCACTTTGGTTTTTACCCATAATAGACACATACTTGTAAGTTTTTACCCATAATAGCAATGTGCTTACGTTTCATAATTGGTAAACAAAGCTAAGTATGTTTACTATTATGGGTAAAGAAATAAAGTTGAATCATTTAGTGCTAACCTTTTAACGGTTCAGAGATGGTAGGGTTCCTTAACCATTTACACGTCGTTCAGAGGCTGTATCAAACGCTTTGAATGTCGACCGTTTCAGAGGTGATCTCTGAATCGAACCATTCAGAGGTTATCAAACAGACCCTTAATAAGCCACTAACTATTGTCTTTTTGTTTTTTAAGTCCCCAATTTTTAATTTGTACTTATATATCACTAAACATCTAGTGTGTTTTCAATTACATTAAACATTGTTCATGCATGCTATGTCAACTCTACTTGAACAATTTTTTCCAAATGATGCCATGTAGGATTTAATACCGGTTTGCCAAGTATATTTGATCCCAATTGTATAACTGAAAACACATTAGCTGTTTAGTGACCTGTTGAGTACAATTTAGAGTACGTTGCTATTTCCATCAATTTGACCAATATTGTAACAACATTACCAGATGCTACGTGTTGCACGATGATCTCTTCTTTCTCAAGTAGAGGCTCTCTGAAAGACAACCATAGCCAAAGCAAATAGATGAACCATGCAAATGCCATGAACCATCCAGGTAAAGTATCTTCATTGAAGGTGAGTTTAAAGATCTTGAATTTCCTTTGAAATAGACAAGCAAGAGCGGGCCCACAAGCCATTCCGAGTGCACCAGCACTCACAAAACCAGCAGATGCTTTCATTCTTAGTTTTGGAGGCACACAATCACTAATATAACGCCTGTTTACAGCCCTTGCTGATCCCAATCTAACAAACAACCAATTCCACTCGTCAAACTCTTCAACTATTTTGACTTTCAAGGTCAAAATAAAGTCAATTCACTGTGATTTCTTCAAGTTTTAAAAAATATTTCATCTTTACAGTGTAAAACTTTCATATATTTGTCTATTATGGCATCTTACTTTCTATTAGATCATTGTACTTTCAAACTGTTTCTTATTAAGGCATTGTACTTTGAAAAATCCCATTTATAGCATTATCCTTTCAGTTTTTTTCTTACAGTATCAGTGAAAATTGCTTTTTATTTGCATGATATTGCTATGATTCTGTATATCTTTTAAAGCACAATGTGGAAATGAAAGTGGAATGCTACAATAAACAAGTTAATTAAAGTATATTGCTATACATAACACCGTTTAAACATTTAAAAAAAAAATGCTAATCACAGTCTAACACCAGCTAACCTTTTAAGTTATATTGACTTTTGAGGTCAAAAGACTAATTTTTGTTGCAAAATATGTCGAATTAATATGATTTCTTCAAGTTTTGAAAAAATAACTTTAAAGATGATCTTTACAGCAAGAAAAAACTAAATGCAAGAAAGAACAATGTACTTTCATATATGTGTGTGTATTATAGTATCCTGCTTTAATTTCTTATTATGCTATATGGGCCATCCAGATGATGTGGTTTACAATTTTTTTATATTTTCAGTTTTTTTGTTATAGTTGTTAAAAGAAAATTCTGTTGAGATGACATTGTTATAATTGGGTAGATTTTTTGATGGACAATGTTGTGATAGGAAGAAACTAAAGTAGAATGTTACAATAAACAAATCATTTTTGTACGATAAAGGACAAATTTCCTAGAAGAAATAGATGGCTTACCCACAAAACACGCGTCCAACAAGAAGAACATATATGGAGTCAAGATCATAAGCCAGGGCATACAAAGTATTCCCCATAAGAAGGACAATGCTGCTGAAAATAAGAGGCTTGATGTATGATTTATTAGACCATGCACTGAAATAAACTGAAGAAAAGACCTGTGCAACTGCCATTGATCCAATCACAACACCACAAACAGTGGCTGCAGCTCCAAGGCTGAGAGAGTAGTCATCTGCTGTTGGCACAATGATGTATGTGTTCACCATATACAAAAATGTATTCACCAAGTTCAAAAGAAGTGACATGAAATGATATCCTTCATTCGTATTCTTCTCTTCTGATGAAGGGAATGGCAATTCATCTTGCATGATAAATGCATGCTTTCCCAAATACTGAAGGAAATCTGTTGAGTTCATTAGTCGACTCTCAGCTGCTTCGATTGATTCAATGATAGGGTCCTGTAATTTATTAAATAAAAAATGAAACTGTAAATTTTTTATGAAACTTACAAAATGGAGAAACTTTTTGACAAATACCGATATATGAAGAGTCGGGTGGTCATAAATTGATGCATAGTATCTGTGATCATCTTTGAGATCAGCAAGATTCCGAGATATTGATCCAACAACTGCTGATATACCCTGTACATGTAGGTAGCATATGGTAGTAATGTATGGGCATTTTCGTCTTTTTGCAGACTAGGCTGGGAAAGTTTTCTAGGGGTGTTTTTGTCTTTTTCACAAACAAGAGGTTAAGATCGACTCTCTATTCAACATCATTCCATTTTTTTAGTGGGAAAAGAAGTTGCAATTTATGTCTCATTAACAAAAAAAAAAGGTGTGATTTCGAATGGCAAGATTTTTAGGGCTATTATCGTCTTTTGCACAGACGAGATATTAGCCTCTGTTCAACCTTGTTCCACCTTTTTGTGTGGGACTAAGAGTTGCAATTTTGGGTGGCAAGCTTTTTATGGCTACTTTTGTCTTTTTGCATTAACCTTGTTGCTACCTTTTTGGGTGAGACAAAAAAGTTGCAATTTTGGATGACAGACTTTCTGGGGCTATTTTTGTCTTTTGAACATATGAGAGATATGTTCAACCTTTTTGCACCTTTCTCGATGGAACAAAAAGTTGCAATTATTGTCTCATTGACATCACTGTCAGTCCAATGCATGTCAAACAATACAGTACAAGCTCTATGTTATGTCATGTCATGTGTAAGAGATAAGAGACGAGGCCTTAATGTATGTGTTAGTGTTATACCACATGCTTAAAAACTTGTCGTAGCTGAGAATAAGGATGATTTGCTCGAGTTTTGACATAGTAATTAGTGAACTTATATCCAAACCGCTTATCGAACTTTTTAAGAATCTTTCTTAAACCGATAGCATTCATTTCTACAAAGAACAAGAGCCTCAAAAGATCTCTTCCCACTTCTCTATATCCTTCTCTTAGTTCCACAATCGAGTCATGATGTGGGCCATGTGAAAGGGACTCATCGCCATGATCAGCAAGACCTGATAGCCTGGTTGCGAGTTGACCTTGTCTTCTTAATATGAACAGAACTATCTTCTCAATCTGAATCACAAGATTCTCATCAAGCATTTGAAGAAATCAAAACTTGGTATATTTATGTAAAATTCCAGTTCTTTTGGTTTCTAGGTTAGAAAATATCAAAATAGAAATTACAAATAACGTACACCTGTTCATCAAGCATTCGAGAGAAATCACGAAGAACATAATCGCGATCCTGGACTACAACCTCGTTTTGTTGAGCATATTGCTTTACTTTCTTCTTTAGTAACTTGTATTCAATATAATATCTGAAAATAGATAGACAAATACACAAGCTATCATGTCATAATGTCATATTACAAACTAACACATCTTAGACCTATTGGTTGGAAGAACGTTACCCTTTCCATTCTTGGATCTGCAATTCCTTCAACTTTTTCCCAAATGCAACCATTGTTGACCACACAAATTACAGTCTTCTGTAGAATATAAACACAGATTAATCCATAGATTACAACTCTCTAATGCATGAAAACAGCACTTCCCCAAATTTGCCCAAAATGGATTTGCAAATTACAACAGAAAGCAGAATATGGTTCAGAAATTCAATCAACTATGTTAGTAAAATTCAAACGATGAATGTGATTCCATTTTATGGATCAAAACCATAGAAAATTTACAGTTTCTGTACAAACACAAACAAATCAATTTATGCAGCCGATGATGAAGTTGTTTTTATGTAGTTAATAAGCTTGTAATGCATGAAAGCTAAACAAGTAACGATTTGTCACTATTTTCTGATTTAAATACACTGAGCTTGTACTCATTTGTGTTTGATCAAGCAATAGAATCAGTTGTCGAACGAAGAAATCAAAGCGTAAATGAACGAATTAAGAGCAACAACTAACCTCCGATTAAGACTGAAAATGTGTAACAATCAAATTGTTTCCTCATATTTAAGGAAATTTTCATCGAAATTCAAAGTTAAATTTCAGATAGAAACAAACTGGATTTTGTATAGTAGTTCAGTAGCAGTGCCACATTTGCCATCGGAATCTCATCAGAGAAATATACGTGTCGCCGGTGGGCGGTGGAAACCACTTCACGTATTAAAAAAAATCAAAACCGTTTCTAATCATTTAATGATTAATGTCTAAAAAACCAACCTTCAAATATCCCTTTAGTTTCAAACATTTATTTTTATTTTTAAAATCCTGTACGTAAAAACCTAACTGAAGCAACGAATTGTATCTTGTTACATATTAATGTTGATATTACATCTATACTTTTTCTTAATGTGGATGCATGTGTGTATGTTTAGTGACGTGGATGTAAACAAATAATTAATTTTGTTGACGTGTGATTTTTTAATATTATTTTTTTGTTGGTGAATAATTTTTTTTTTTTTGACAAAACTTCAAAAATGGTTTCTGTGGTTTTCGAAAATATCAAGTTTAATCCCTAAGTTCAAAAAACCTCACAGATGGTTCCTGTGGTTTCAAAACTTTTAACAAACAGTCCATTAACCATATAAAAAGACTAATATACCCTTTCTATTTCTTTTTAGAATTAATTTTACCTAATCCTATTTAAAAAAAATAAAAAGACAAAATAAATAATTCATTTGGCCCACCTGTTCTCTCTCTCTCTCTCTCTCTCTCTCTCTCTCTCTCTCTCTCTCTCTCCTCTCTCTCTTCTCTCTCTCTCTCTCTCTCAAGTCTTTGTCATCTTCTTCTACTCAATCCCCAACACCCTTTGACTGATAAAAAAACGGGCACTTCATTTACATCAGTTCATAGCCCCAGCATGATTTTTAAACATCACCACTACTCCGCCATAGAACCACCTGTATCAAATGTGAATCACCAACGTTACCCACCGTTTGTCAACCAACAACCCCCCTTTTCCCTCTCCTGCTCCGACAATCAATCCTAAAAGCAATAACACCAGCAGAAATTGAGCGAAGGCGGAAATCGAGGGAGGTTCTTCGATCCTCGTCTGATCGAGAAGGGAGAAGCAAGAATGGAAAACAACAGCAGGTGGGGGTGTTCGTGAGGAAAGAATCCGACGAACCAAGGCTGCCGCCCCTGTTTCAGTTTCTCTCCTTCCTCCCTCATTCTTCCTATCGTCACAACACTCAAAAACCACCCCTCGTTGCAGTGGTCCTCAATTTTGGCTTCGATATAAGTGAGAGGAAGAAGAACCGATAAACTAGCGAGCTGTTACAACTCCCCAGCCATCCTCACTTGGTTCTCCGTCACCTCCAGCACCTCCTCTCTCCGCCTACTGTTGGTGATTTGAAGCCACAACTCCGATGAGTGAGCTATCAGCCGAGAAGGAGCTCATTGGAAAAACGACTGGTCTTCCCTCTTCCACCATTATAGCCGCCTCCGCCTTTTCCCCCCTTGTGACTGCTTAACTACTGCAGAACCACACTCCACCATCGGAGCTTCCTGGTCGCAGCCTTCCATTCGTGATTTCAGCTTCTCCGAACAGACGAAGACGGAGACCTGTTCCCTTAGCTCTCAACCGGAGATGATGCAAGTTAAAGCCTCAGAGGGTCGCCGGAGATCGACGACTCTGTCTCTCCTCGCGATTTGAATGACCACCATCAGAACTTCTCATCGCTTCCGATTTGTTCGTTCCTCCAAATCCCCAAACAGATGAAGAAGACGATGTGCGTTTTTTTATGTTGAGAGAGAGAGAGAGGAGGTGGGCCCAATGAATTATTTATTTTGTTTTTCTATTTTTTAAAATAGGATTAGGTAAAATTAATTCTAAAAAGAAATAGAAAGGGCATATTAGTCCTTTTATGGGCTAAGGGCTGTTTGTTAAAAGTTTTGAAACCACAGGGACCATCTGTGAGGTTTTTGAACTTAAGGATTAAACTTGATATTTTCGAAAACCACAGGGACCATTTTTGAAGTTTTGTCTTTTTTTTTTGTTGTTGTATTATAAAAACTTATTATCATGAATTATAGTAACATAAAATAGTTAATGTTATAAAAGGGTAAGAAACTGGTTTATTCTTCATATAAAACATCATTGATTTATAAAGAAATGACACGTGAAGTCGTGAAGACGCTACAAGAATACTAAGCTATGCCGACGACATCTATCCCGACGACAAAAGTCGTCGCCTACAGGTCACCCTATCCCGACGACTAGTCGTCGCCACAAGTCTGGCGGGAACGACGAAAATGTTCGCGGTAATCTGAAAATCTATACCGACGACATATCGTCGGTATAGGTATCAAAAAAATCTATTTTCCATTTATTTTTATTCCATGTGCCAGAAAAACAGAACGACGTAGTTTTGGGGAAGGCTATCCCGACGACAAGTCGTCGGCACAGGTTTTTTAATTTTTATATATATTTTTATTTCAGCAAAAAACGCAACGTCGTCGTTTATGTGGACCCTATACC